TGATCTTAAAGGTCTTTTCCAACCTAAATGGCTCTGTGATTCTATCCTGGGCTGGGCTGGATCCCAGTGTCCCAGGTTGGACTGGATCCCAGCACCCCAGACCTCCTGCCAGCTGCACTGCCCTGGCTCCTGGGGCTCCCCGGGCTGTTTCCAGCCAGCCAGCCCGGCCCTGGCTGCACTTCAGGCACCTCCACAAGCGGGTGAAGCTGCACCGGGGCTGTGGGCAGAGGGAGGGATGGATGCACAGATGCACGGACTGATGCACGTGTGCACGGGTGCACGGACAGACGCACATGTGCACGATGCATGGATGGATGGATGCACGAGTGCACGATGCATGGATGGATGGATGGACAGACGGCATCCTGCCAGGGCCAGGCAGAGCCGAGGGGTCCCCGTGGCATTTCAGAAGTGGCAAGGAGAAGCGGTGAGCCCCGGTGACGTGCCCTGCACGGGAGCCAAGCCCAGGCGCTCTCACCTGTTGATGAGGTCCTCGTTGCTGTCACTCTCCATTTCATCCTCGATGGCCGCCTGCAGGTCCCCGATGCGCTTGAAGGCCAGCTTCAGGTCTGACTGCAGACTCTGGTTGGCAGCTTCCAAGCTCTCCAGGTCCATCTCCTGCGGGGAGGGAGTGGGGTGAGCCTGGTACCCCAGGGAAACTGCTCCTGTCCCCCTGCCCGGCCCCGTCGTGAGTGCCTCACCAGCTCATGCTTCTTGCGGCTGGCCTCCGCCTCCTTCTTGGCCAGCTCGCCCATCTCCTCCTTGACATCAAAAAAAACCGCTTGTTCTGCTCCTTCTCCCGGTTCTCGGCGGCCGCGCGCTGATCCCGCTCCTCCGTCAGCTTCTCCATGTTCTCCTTGAGCCGCGTGGCCAGGCTCTGCGGAGCAGCGGGTGTGGGGTCACCCCAGAGCCCCCCACGGACCCCTCACCCTGCAGCAACACCCACCAAGGGCTCACGCAAGGACGGATCCCATTCCCATGAATTTACACAAGGAGATGGACGAGAAACTCCCCCCAGGGCCAGGAATGGGGCAGAACAACCGCAGGGGCTTTGTCGAATTGGAAAAATAGATTTAACTGTGTGTGAAGTAATTACAGCGTGTAACGTAGGGAAAAAATAGCTCCCATTCTCCCCCAGCCGCTGAGCCAGCCGCTGCATATTTATGGCCCCGGCAGAGAGAGTGGGGAAGGGAAATAACAGCTAGGAAAATATTAAGAGGAGAGCTAAGCTGCTCTGCTCCCCCGGCAGAGCTGCAAAGGCAGAATATAAAGCAGGCTGCGTTTAGCGGGGCCAGGAGAGTCTATAATTTCCCTAAGTCAATGCAGGGCAAGA